AAATATATTCAAATAGAAAACAGTTATTTGAAATAGCCTAGTAAAAATATTTCGTACAGTTTTGCTGTACTTTGGATCAAATAAATGCAGGCTTGGTGAACAGAAGAGACTTCTTTAAAAAACATTAAAAATCTTACTGTTCAAAAACTTTTGACTGGTAGTGTATAGTCAACTTAAATTTTTCTCATTTCTAGCTTTTAATTGGCTTAGAAATCAGATAGAAAGTGCGGGGGACGAATTTACATGATATTAAAAGTGGGGGGGACACGTCCCCCGCGTCCCCCGCGTAATCTACGCCCCTGTAATAGACATTTGAGGGATGCTAGTACATCTGAAATCTACTGATTAATGATGCAACCTTCTGTAATTTCTAACCCTTATCTGATTAAATCAATGTCGACAATAATTAAAATGCACTGTTTTAAATCTTAATTTGAAGTGTAAAAATTGTGATTTTCCAGGCCAGGAATTTTATAAACTCTTGGTAACACGTAACAATAAAGTTATATATGTTCACATTAGTTGATGTCATAAACTAGAAATTAAAAATTTGTATTTTCTCAGCATAAAAAATCTAGAAATTAATATTTTTCCATTCATGTTCAGCTCTAGAACATTTTGTCAAACTGCTAAGTGTAATCTATTAAAAGATTATAAAAACTCACATGAACTAATTGCAAATGATTGGAAGTCATGGCAATTCATTCATTCAGCTTGTTGTGTGGATATTTTATCTGCTGCTTATATTTCCCACATATCACACAGTACCATTTATGCATATCATAATTTTTTCTTCAGCTTCTCACCTCCACCACCAAAGCATTGTCCTCCGGTCCTATTGAGGGCACTGTCTGCTGTAGTTTGCTGTAACTAGTGTTTGTGTCTGTGTGTAATGTGGCAGGCTAAAGGACAGTGTGTGCACGCTCTGCCCTGTGCTACGCCCTCCCCCCCCACGGCTCGCCCCTCAAAACCCTGGCATGCCATCGCCCGACACTGGCTCGGCCTGACGCGCCGTCGGACCAGCGGGTACTTCCCGGTAGGCTGATTACCGCACAGAGCACGTCCACGTTTCCAACTAAAAGATACTAATTTCTCTCAAGTCCTTTGTTACTTTAGATGCAGCTCTGTTAGAAAAGATCAAACAAGGCATGATATTTTCTCTCTCCACAATTCTCTACCAAAAAACCCATTCACAGTTTCACATGCTGTCTTATTTGGGGAAAATTACAGATTTTAAATTGTGAGGTGTGCAACATAGAAATGTTCTTTTTGGCACAATGTTTATATTCAAACACACTGCTAATTAGCATTAGCACAATTTTAAACAACGATCAGTGGATTACCTGTGTCATTTTATTATTACAATTTTTTATTTTATTTTATATTTTTTTATTATTATTTTCTTAAGCTAATTGCTTTGCACATGATAATAGTATAAAAAAAACAAACATCAACAAGTCACAGGTTTGTCTTTAGCTTTGTCTTTCAGCTTCTTCTTTCATCTTCGGAACACAAATTAAAATATTGTTGATGAAATCCGAGAGCTTTCTGACCTTGCATAGACAACAACACAACTACCACGTTCAAGGCCCAGAAAGGTTGTAAGGACATTGTTAAAATAGCCCATGTGACATCAGTGGTTCAACCTTAATTTTATGAAGCTCTGAGAATACTTTTTTTGTGCAAAGAAAACAAAAATAAAGACTTTATTCAACAATTTCTTCTCTTCTTTGTCAGTCTTCGACGCACGTTCACGAGAGTACCAAGATGCATGTTATTTTTGGTTTCTTTGCACACAAAATGTATTCTCGTAGCTTCATAAAATTATGGTTGAACCACTGATGTCACATGGACTACTTTAACGATGTCCTTAGTACCTTTCAGAGGCTTGAACATAGTAGTTGCGTTGCGGTCTATGGAAAGTCAGAAAGCTCTCGGATTTCATCAAAAATATCTTAATTTGTGATCCGAAGATGAATTAAAGTCTTATGGGTTTGGAACAACATGAGGTTGAGTAATTAATGACAGAATTAAATTTTTTGGTTGAACTATCCCTTTAAGGTTTTTGTTGGCTATTTATTGCAACATGATTGTAACGTCATATGAAAAGCTTAGAAATGTCAATAGCTGTGTGTGAATACAATCACTTATGTTAACATATGGCATTCATAAAGTGAACAAGAACAAGTGAGTGATTTTGAACAAAACATATGATTAAATGTGTACAGTAATGGCTCTGAATATGTTGCCATGATAGCAAGATATCATGATGGACATGAGCACAGGCAAAATTCAGTTCTTTCCACACAGACTCTTGTTTAGTATTGTGCTAACACCTATATCATTACTATGGCAACCTATGTAGATATGCTGGATTCTGACTGTGGATGCAAAATGTCATTGCTTAAGATGGGATTTGAAACACAAATCAGCTTTATGCACAATGTGAAGAAAGCTTTATATACTACAATGTCATAAGTTTCAGTTCCTCAAGAAGAAATCAGCACACTGTTGTTTACCCATAAGGTTGCCCCCTTTTGCACTCTTGAAAGTACTGCATTAGAGTTTCAATGAAAAGGAGTGACACCTGCTGGTCCGACATTAAAACTGCTTTTGCTTCTCGGCTGCCAACAGCTCAAACTGCATGCACTAACCTCTTTCTTTAGGTTTGTGGGTTTCTTCCTGCTTCTGCCAATCTGCACAAGAATCACATTATAAGTGATACTTGCTTTTCCAAAATAGATGCTTTGTTTTTATGCTATGTAGAGTGTGCTAGCTCATGTTTCCTTGCCTTTTCAGAAGAATGAGAAGGATTTTAATGTTATTCCTATGGTGACTGTATTGTGATACAGTTGTCTGGCAAGGAGATGTTGTCCTGTTTTCAAGCTGTTCTTTTAACAACTGTGTTTTGTACTCATTTCACCTTTTTTTCCCATAGCACATTGTGTTCTTAACAGTGTCTTTACTCATTAATACTGGTGTTGGACCAGCTCAGGCCATTAAAATGCTAACCATTATACTTAAATGTATAATGGAGTTAAACAGGCCTCATATCAGCACTGAAGCAAGCTCAGCTTGCACGTTTTATCTTTCCACAAATAGCTGCTGATCTGAAGCCAGCTAAGCCACCCACATACTAACCAATCATGCCTAGTGAAACAACAACAAGGGGTGTAAAGTACTTGAGTAATTATACTTTATTATTGTATGCGGTATTATTTTAGGGTATGTTTACTTTACTCAGTGTAAAATAAATAGCTGCAGCTTTTCTTATAGAAAAAAAAAATACTTTAATACTCCTTAAAAAGTATATCACTGGTCATCATGATGTAAATCTAGATTCCACTTTACAATTTCCTCCTGAAAATCCAGTCAATTTCAAATTTAATTTCAAAATTTGCTTCTAAATTGAACAAATACATTTGAGAAACATTTAGGTTTCACTCTAAATGTTTTTGGCTGGATACTTTGACATTTGAGTAAAATGTTGATATCTGTACTTTAATTTAAGTATAATTTCTCAGTACATTTTAAACCCTAGACAAAAACTCAATGTTCTAGAAACAACAGCTTAAGTAAATGTTTCCATCACAGAAACCCTTTCCTCGCTGGCGGGACCTTGCAGAGTGTTGCTCCAGTTGCTGCTTATTTGATTCTGATAGCATATTAAAACGAATGTGCTTTGGCTTTGATGAACCTGGCCTTTTGTGTTCCTGCAGGAAAACTGTGAGACCTTTGTGGCAGAAGGAGATTGGAAGGTATTGTGAATCTTCCTTTTGCATTTTTGATATTGACTTAAGATTTATACTAATGATAATGAGGCTGACATAGCCTCATTATTCCTTTTTTCCGTTTGATGATTAAAGACGTATTGTTTGTCTTGGCTAGAGAGTGGAATGTGCTAACAATTACAGTTAATGAGAGAGCGTGAGAGAGAATGAAAAACATGGAGGCGCTGCTATGACCTCCTGAGTTTCAATCAATATCCTATTCAGAGCAACTTGTAGTACCAGCCTGTTGGTTACAACTGGTAGTTTAACTGTCAACATGACATCCAACCTAATAAATTTGTAATAAATTTCTATGTGCACCAATGTAATATAATATAATATAATATAATATAATATAATAATTCATCAATTATATTCAGTTTCTTTCAGCTTTTAATGTGCTCTGAGTTACACTGAGTTACAGAGATCAAATTGTAATTGAAGTCAAACTACTGAGATAAAAGTTGAGGTATAAGAACTTTATCACCTCAGTTTTGTCGCTGTCTCACGGTTTGCATCATCTCTTCACACCTCTGACAGAAATAGGCCTAAATCACAGAGAGAAGAATTTGAATAAAACAGTGAGAAATCCAAACAGCGGAGAGGGCTGGAGATGATAGGATTTGTAAGCCGCACGCTCATCAAGTGAGAGTTTTTAATTGTGATGGAGAACAGATAATTAAATAGGTGTTTGCTAGCGCAATACTGTTACCTAATGCCAACAAAGAAAAATGAAATGTGACATTATAAATCAGATTTGGCAATACAGTCCGCTTGTTCAATATAGCATTCCAGACAGCCATACTAAAAAACCCAAAATATGTTGGCCTAGGTATAAATTGCAGTAATATCATTGTTAAAAAATTAACTGCATGTTAAAAAGCAAATTTTTTACTTTATTAATAAAAGTTAATAAGCCAAAAGTCATGACTAACAGAAATGCATTTTTTTTTTTCCAAATTTAAATTTTGGTTATAAAATACATTAGATACAATAATATATAATAATATTTTAGAATGAGGATTCAACCTCAAAAGATTAAAGATTAAATTTTTGTGACGCATTTACGCAACCTACAGTGCATTCAAGGTACATTCTATCAGTTTTGTACTGTTTATACATATTGGGATGGGCAGTAACCATTTCATAATAACAATAAGGCACTCAAGGCTAAAAAAAGACCAATTAAAAGTCTTTTTTTTTTAAATGATGATTTCTACATTTACTTTGTTCGTGAACTAAAAATGCCTGTTACATTAGATTAAGCACTAAACCTGTTAACATTTATGTGCAAATGTGTATGGTTTGATGTGGAGGGTGGAGTCCATCCTTTTATGACAATGACAATGCAACTGTATTTTCAGTGCATGAGATCTGCAATTGAGAGAGGGAGATAGAGGTTGTGCGTTTAAGCGAGACGACAAAAGTCAAGTCAGCCACAAAGAGATTAATCTTCCATGTCCAAAGAGAAAACTCAAAAGATGCATTTGAGTCAGCATGGTCCTTAGACAGAAAATGCAGATTGAAAATTCATAGAGAGGTCGTTTACTACAGAATACAGCACATGTAAATACATCCATGTCTGAAAAGTGGGCCATGTACCTCGTGTACATGTTGGAGCGCACGTACACAGACACAACTCATGCAAGAGCCTTGCCATGAAATTGTCACTGACCTTTGACCTGGCCCGTTTCGGTGTGTGTTGTGTTTTTGTCTAATAATAATATTCGAATGATAAATAACCATATGCAGAAGCATTTAAACATGCAGTTAATCGTAAACAATGACACAAACCCTCTATTCATAGAAAACCAAGCTGCTAAATTCCAATAAAATTATAGAATATCTATATTAAAGGCCATTATAGGCATGCAGAAGATAAAGATTGCAAATATGGGACAAATCCAGACAGAACACAACAGATTTAGAGTGATACAAAGCCCAGCCAATAACAGGCAGCCATTTTTGTGGACAGCCAATGAGAGGACAGGGGTGGGGTATGAAATTGTGTCGGGGGAGGGGCAGCAGCACTGCAAAACTACCCTGACCAGAACGAGGAGAGACAAAGAGACGCCGTAGCAACCGCAGCATCTCTCTGGTTGCCTGCATCCGAGTCCGATTTCCTGGAGAGGACCTTGTCTTCTTCCTGCTCAAATATACGCCTTTAAGCAAGCGTACACAATCTGTAAGCAGCCATGCCGGAGTGCTGGGATGGGGTGAGTGGGATATCTGTGATTACAGGAATGTAAATATAGTGTGTGAGAGACAATGCTTTTGTAATAATAATTTGTACACTATATAAGAATTATTACTTGTTTGGCTGGTTAAATAAATTGCTACTGATTTGCTTTGTGGTCAGAAATGATTAGACTGAACTGGTAATTGCGAAACAATTCCATTGCACATTTACAGTTCCTGATTGCTAATTATTGTTATAATTCTATGATAATATCAAATTATTTTTATTTATAACAGCTAATTATTATACTAAAATCATCAAAAATAAATCAGCATCCTCTAAATGTAAAAAAGTGTCATAATATTTAATAGAATAAATAATAATAAAATAGTAATATTTTTCTACAGAATTAACTAGCTTGACCTACTGATCTGGTAATTGTGGAATAATTACATTGCACATTTTCTTGATGGGTAATTATTATCATTTGATGATAATCTATGATTATTTAAAATGGCTAATTATTGTACTAAAACATCATAAACAAAGCAGCATCTTCTTAAGAAACAAACAAAAAAAAACTTCATAACATTTAATAAAAATAATTATTACAAAAAATAATTATAATAAAATGATCAGTAAAAAAAATAAAAATATATTTCGACCAAAAAAAAAAAAGAGAGAGAAAAAGATATAGAGCAGTAAATGTTCCATCTTTAAAAAGTGTGTTTAGAATTCTGTGTTGTGCAGAAATGTCCAGTCATGTGTGAGGTGGCCATTTGCACTGACACACTAACACACTGACACGTGTGCTACGTGCACTCTGATGTACCTCTGCAGTAACCTGGAGAGTGTTCAGAAATGTGTGTTTGCGCATACTGCTGATGATAAATCTTATGTCTGCAATCTAATCATAAAAATCCTCATACAAGGTCAGTTGTGTGACCTTGAGAATGAAAAATGAGCAGCGACAAGAGATTTTCATTAGAGATTTCTGCCCCATATTTGCATAATATTGTTGAATCTAGGTCAAATTTCCTGTTTATCCTGTCAGTGTTTGTTGCATATTATCTCCCTAGAAAACATGCTCAACATTTCGCTGCACAGTGACAGCTGTCACAAGATTTTATCTCGATCTAAACACAGAGGGTCACAAACAGCTGTCCTAAACTCACACACAAACACACAAAGACCGTTGCATCTGCCCTGACCTTCCATGGTTTTTCCAGCATCAAAAACACCAAGTGACAGGGGTTTAAACCCCACAGATTTATTTCCCGTCTCTCTGTGGCTCTGCGTTAAGCTCAGAAGTGGGCTGCCTGCCTGCGAGGTGTCTGCTAGGATTTGTGCATAACACTGGAAAGCTAGAGATGCTGAAATAGTCTTCAGGACAAGAAAAACAACATGCACACATACATACCTCCATCACTCCTCCGCTCGGAATAATGTCTCAGACTAAATGTGGGTCAGTTCAGATTAAAATGCCTTTGGAACAGGCAATTAAAAGTGTGTTACATGACCGTGTGCAGTGAATCTGGGATCAGAGATGCTTAATGAGATATTAATTAGTCTTGTTTTTAACTCTTGCCACTCTTGATTAAATAGATTTTTTTTCTTTACCCATTGAAAGTAGTTGATTGTTGTAAGTCAGTGTGTGTATACCTGTGTACCAAGGTAAACTGCTCCCATTGCTCCCAATACCCCAAGCAACATGCACTGCACGATTTCTATCTTGGTATACCATCTGTCTCCAAGCATTGATCTGGAGTTAATTTCCCCATCTTCACAACCAACAAGAGATAGTTGTGTGTTAGTGTGTGTACTTTTGCATATGTGCATGTTTAAAGAGCAGCCCTCTGGAAGTGATGTGTGTGGGCTGTGATCAGAGCTGTAATTTGGATGCCAGCTGACTGCAGTTTATCAGTTCTGTTAACAGATTGCATGCAGTGTGAGACGAAGCTGATCTCAGGTGGCAGGTGATCTCAGCACCACATATGTGATGGAGCAAAAACTGCAGCACAAAGTTTTATTTTTGGGGCAAACTTTTTTTATATTTTTTTATTTATATTATATACATTTGTATTTATATTATATTGATTTATAATACTTATTCTGATTCTGAGCTCATTCTGATTCTGATTATAATATTTACAAACATGGCTCTCTTGGAGATTAGTGCATACTACATACTAGCTTGAACTTGAGCTTATAGTTTTTGTATTTTATAGTTATATTTACATTAATATATCAAATATATTGATTATTTATATAATATAAATGTTTATTTAAAATAACCAATGTATCTTTTATTATATATATTTATATTTACTTATATTATTTACAAATATGGCTACTCTTGGAGGTTAGTAGCTTGAACGTGAGCTTCAGCTTATGTATTTATTTTTTACTACATTATATAAATTACATATTACATACATTATATATATATATAGATATATACACACAAACACACACACACACACACACACACATACATAGGCCAATGTATATAAAATGATGTATTTATATCAATTTGACACTGAATTTTTTATTACATTATATAAATTACATATTACATAAATTATACACACACACACACACACACACACACACATATATTAAATGTATGTAATATATATAATGTATTTATTAAAATATTATGTATTTATATCAATTTATAATAGGCTAGTTGAATTAGTAACTTATATATCAATTTATGATGTATACAAATTTTTATATATGTAAATAAATATATTAAGGGTTAAATATAAGAACAAAATATTAAATATAATAATTTAGTTATATATATATAAACACTGTTAATAATTAATATTATACAGTTAGTACATATAATAATTTTAATCATTTGTTTATTGTAGCTACTTTTTTACTTGCAGTTATATTAAAGAAGAATGAATGTCTAAACAAGAATAACGTTTGTACTCAATGTGAATTATAGGAATTTAATCTATGGCTTGATAAGGAACATTAGATCCATTTATGGGTCAGCAGAACAAAAGCGGCCGAGTTGCTATTGACCTTGATATTAAATTCCATATTCTGTCAATGTGATGGAATTAAATGACTCGTAACCTTGGCCGAGATCTGTTCTCATCACTCACAGCATGGCTTTCCTTTCCTCTACTTCTCCTTTTTTTCTTTCCTCTTTCCTCCTAATCTCCTCCTCCCTCTATCTATCCATTCCACATTATCTCGCCCTGAAGTGTGTTATTGTCTGCTGGTTCTTATTCCTATGCAGTGCACGCACATGAGAGAGAAATATGTAGGTCACAAAAACATACCCATCATGCAGTGATGGGGAGGGGAGGGGGGAAGGTCAGCACTGCGGCATAGAGTAGCTCTGACTCCGCTGCGGATACATGTATTAGTATGCATGGCCATCCTCCATCACAAAACATGACTCGGTGAGCGAGAGAGAGAGAGCAAGCGAGTGACACAGACCACCGAAAGGAGACACTGGCCTATATAAAAATGCAAAGTGAGCAATACAGCTGGGAGGCAATGAGAAAAAAATTGGGTCACTTACTACAGGGTAGAGAAGCTTGGATATGATTCATGCCACAATGCAGCACCTTTAAATCGGCAAGTCTTTTTTGGTTCAAGACCATGAGAAAGGTCATTTTATTTTATATTTTATTTTAGATTCTGCAGCACACAAGTTATATGGGCGACTTCCAAAATTTCTACTTTTGTACTCCATGGAATAGGTAACAACATATGGGTTTGGAACTACATAAGGATGAGTCAATGTTTTGGGTGATGTTTTCCTTTAAATAGCTTGAAGACCTGCCAAAACACCATTTGATGATGATTAGGGAGATGGCATGAATTAAAATGAGTTGTTAGTGAGCAGTTAGCTAGAACACTGAAGTTGTTTTGTTTCTTTATTTCATGATCTAAGTAGGCCAATGATTCTTGCATGAGAGATGAGCAGACAGAGAACACAATTTACAGAACTGCCCCAAATTTGAAGTGTTCTTTTATAATCAGTAATGTTATGTAATGTATGATGTTACGAAAGGAGATCCAATGGAATCTGGGATAACAATGTATTATATATTGTTGTTGGAGAAGTACCATGTAAATGCCACGAACACTGTATAAAACATGATATTCATTCTGTACCATCTGATATCATTTTACCAAGGTAACAACACAATACGTTTTTGTTTCTACAATGTCTCGCTCTCTTTCTCTGAGCAGACAAGCTGTGTTTCAACACCTTCTTCCACAATGAAGACATGCAGGAGATCACTAAGCATTTTGTGGTGTGCCACGTAGATGCCCCAGGCCAGCACATTGGTGCCCCCCAGATGCCACAAGGGTACGATGAACACACACATGAATATATACACCAGTATTTGCCATTTTACAGGATATGTAAGGAAAAAGGTTAATGGATTGTATTTTATGGTCTCTGGTAATTTGTTGCCTTCTACTGGTGGCATGTTAAAACTGCTAATGGAATATGGCCCAAAAACATTTTTAATTGTTAAGAGTTGGTATAGGCCTATATGTAGTCAAAACCATTAGAACTTTTTATTTTTTACAGCGTGGTAGGCTATGTACAGTCAGTCAGAAAACAATAATAGGCCTATAGCTACGATTGTAAGACTACTGTGCATTACTGCACTTATAACAAGGCTATTTACCAAATAAATTATTACATGGCCATGAAATATTGATTTGAGTAGAAACTGTGTTAAAATCTTACCTTCAAATCTTACAAAAGTGTCGGCCTAGCAACAAGACGAGCACCGCTTCAATACAGTAAAATTACTAGTCCTCTCAGGTGATTTTCATTACAGTCGATAACTGAAACACAAGATGGCGCCAGTTGCGTTTGGATGAAACAAAAGAGCGTGAGTCTGATGAAAGTAGCACCGGTTTCGGTTACGGATGAGTGACTGGACTATGTAAACATTTCTGTGTACTACAAAATGGCGAATATCTAAGCGTTGAATGCCCCGATTGACCAATCAGAATCAATTATTCCAGAGAGCCATGTAAGAACTCGAGATATCATTTAGGCCTATAATACTTCTTTTTATCATGTTATTTCTAGGTATCAGTATCCCACCATGGATCAGCTAGCTGGGATGCTTCCTAGTGTGGTGCAACACTTCGGGTGAGTGTGGTTGGATTATACTCTAAATTATGGGCTGCGATGTAATCATAATGTAATCTAATGATAATCCATTCCTTTAAATTCCTAGCTTCAAGAGCATTGTTGGAATTGGAGTGGGGGCTGGTGCCTACATCCTAGCCAAATTTGCGGTTAGTAAATCTCAGCCTTTTACTGTATGCTGGTCAAGATTTTTTTTTTTTTTACTTTACATTCAATGCAATTCAGTTGTGCTCTCTACTTGTAGCTGATTTTCCCTGATCTTGTGGAGGGTCTGGTTCTACTCAACATTGACCCCAATGGTAAGGGATGGATCGACTGGGCCGCCACAAAATTGTCAGGACTCACCAGTACTTTACCAGACACTGTCCTGGCCCACCTATTCAGCCAGGTACAATATTAATATACATTCCTTATGTTTCACTGTAGATACAGTATACAGTCACCTTTAAAAATACATTTCAAGGCTTTTTGGAAAATTTATTTAAATTTATGCATTCATTTCAAGGACATTTAATGTAAAAAAAATATTTAGTTACTTTTTTCATTTTAAAATAATAAATTCTTATCAGAGATTTTATTTTTAAAATGTTCAATTGAATTTTCAAGCTAAATATTTAGCTAACGTAACATTCATTGTATTACAGGAAGAGCTTATGAGCAACACAGAAGTGGTCCAGACTTACCGCCAACAGATCAACAACACCATCAACCAATTTAACCTACAGCTCTTCTGGAACATGTACAACAGGTAACCACCCACTACCTCTTTTATATATAAAACGTTATACGTAATGCATGAGTAGAATAAAAATGCATATTTAAAAAAAAAAAAAATCATAATATTAATAATAACTTGATTTAAAATGAGAATTTTCTTTTTTTCCACAGCCGCAGGGATTTGGAAATGAACCGCAGTGGCTCTGTGCTAAATGCTAAGACCCTGAGGTAAGAACTAAGTTCATTAGAATATGATTAGTCTCATTTACATATGCCTGTGTGATAAGACAGAATTCTGAAATCTCTTTCTTGCAGGTGCCCAGTCATGCTGGTCGTTGGTGACAATGCTCCGGCTGAGGAAGGCGTGGTGAGTCTTTGTTCCACTTTTGTGCCTGATATTTAAGAGGGAAACTTATTTGATCATGTTTTTCTCATCCTTCACATTTTTGTCGCTCAAGTTTTGTTCCTCCTACCAAACTTTTCTCTCCTATGAGTCTTTACATAAACTTGTCTTTCTATGTAATATTTCCCAAACTTGGATGTATATTGTCATTCAGAGACAAGTCAATCCGCTCAGCATTTCTTCCTTCCTCTTTCTCCGGTTGTCTCATGGGAGCAGATGGCACTGGCCCCGGGGTTGATCTCCCAGGCTTTGCCAGCTTGTGTGCGCTGGATATTTTTAACTCCGCACTATGGTCCTTTAATCTAACGTGTGAAAGCTGGGTCAGTGCCCCGTCACATCTAATCAGACACGCAGGGTGAGAGATGAGGAAAAGAGGGACACGATGAAGGAGGGGAAGAGATGGATAAGAGCGAGAGGTAAACGAAAAGAGGATGAGAGAAGAGACGGATTCGAGTAATTTAGGGCAAGTGGAGGAAGATGAAAAGGTGGGAGCAGAAGAAACAACAGAAGGATGAGGAAGAGATTAGGACGAAAAATAATAAATAAATAAAGCAAAATCATGGAAAATGAAGTGATTTAGAGCATAAGGAGAGATCAGAAAAGCAAATACGCCTCTAGTGAAACCCAATAATTCTTGTTTATTACAATATATTCCCCATTTTAGAGTAATATTAACAATAGTAACATTACTTGACTGATTTTCCTTCCATTTCTGGTCTAAATCATCCATACGTTAAACTATGTTTATATATAAACATACATATAATGTAGACACTTGTGGTAAGAGTTTTCATTAGAATTATGAACATGTTAGAAAGGGGGTACCCGTCCCATTCTGAAAGTGTCTGCGGTGGTACAAACAAGAACTCACAGGCGAATGCGTCTGCACAGCTGTCTTTCTTTAGCACTGGAATATGACTCATCTCTGCAGTACTGCAGAACTGGGTCAGACCTCAAATACACACACACACACACACATATATATATATATATATATATATACACACACACACACACACACACTCTCTCCTCCCTCCATCACACCATCCATCTTACTACCCATCATTCAAATACCTTCTGAAGAGCTTGTTTCATTTTCTCCGTCTGCTCTTGTACTGCTCTGTAAATGCCCTGATACATATCTATATGTTCACAAACATTTATAAAATACAGTATCAATGTTTTCTACTCCTAGGTTGAGTGCAACTCTAAACTGGATCCAACCAACACCACATTCCTAAAGGCAAGCGAACAGACATACTGTTGAAACAGAAGCCAAACTTAAACCATTTTAGCACATACAATTTCAGAAATAATTTGTTAAAAACATTTGATTTATTTCAGATGGCCGATTCAGGTGGAATGCCTCAAATTACACAGGTGAGACTGCTTGACGTGTCTGATCTCAGATTAGTCTCTGATAGTATTACAATGGTGACCGAACATGATACCAAAATTGTTTATTGTACAAATGTAAATAAAATGTCCTTAAAATCAAATATTTTAATTTATTAATGCAGAATTATTCATTTAAAGCTTGTCAAACACTAGTTTAACAATTAAACTATGTTAAATGTTTTGAATCCTACAGCCCGGAAAACTCACAGAGGCTTTCAAGTACTTCCTGCAGGGAATGGGTTACAGTAAGTTAACAATGTAACAATGTTAATAATGTTTCTGGGTAAATCAGAACCCCAAATCAGTTCAATTGATGATTCTTTCTCTGCCAAATGTAAACCGATCCAGTATGTTCAGTGTGTCCTTTCTCCCATGTGTGTCTATTTCCCATGATGAGAGAATTGTGAGTGTATGCAAGCAAATAAGTGTGGGTGTGTGTGTGGAGGTGTTGTATTTGGTATAATCTGTACCCTATGTGTATTTTCCTGCCCCTTCTCAGTTGCTTATATGAAGGATCGGAGAATGAGTGGGGGGCCAGGTACTTCCTGCTTCCTGTTCACGCCTGCCCTCTTCCTCATTTAGATGACACATTTAGTCTTCTAATCCCTTGTTTGGCATTGTTTAATTTCTGTATTTATTCTTCCCAGACTGATATTTCCATTCATTCATTATTTACTTTACTGATCAGTGATTTTTCCTCTGAAGGAAAAATGTGCTTTGAATGCGCTCTCATGCTCTCTGCATGGCAGTTATTTGAAACGGTACCATTGAAAACAAAATATAGTAGATGACTACATGGCATGAAATGCAATTTTTTTTCTTTTTAGCTTAGAATTATATTAAAAAGTTGTGAAACGTGCTGTTTAATGAATTCTTTTTCAGAAACCTCTCCTCCAAGAGAGCACTTGTAGGCTGGAAGATCTTTTATATTTGAATTATTGTTTTTTAAATACATATTTCTATATTTTATTTATTTACATATTTATAATATTTGTATATTTTTATACAGTATTTTCTTGTTTAAAAAAACTAAGTATCATTGGAACAAGTGTCAATTCAATTACAGTATTTTTGCCTTTTTAGTATTTGCATACAAATATCTAAACATCCATTAAACAATTGAAAAAATTGTGTAGAAACACTATTTGAGTACTGAGTTTTCCCTCAGAAATTGCAAGTAAGTTTCACAATTAACTACAAAGAAATGACAAGTAACACACTGAATTAAATTCTAAAAAAATACAAACTAAAATTATAAAGTAGAAAGACTGAAATAGTTTTTTTTTCTAAAACATTTGTTTTATTTACACCTTGGGAAAAAAATTGTTTTATCAGTGTGTATATGTGTGCACATAGGGTTTGGTGCAGAATCTCACACTTTTTTGAAGTGTATTCCTAACAAGAGGAAAAATTCTAATGGAGTAAGGGGTTATTCTTATTTCTACACAATTTTACTTAAATTATTATTTTTTTGTTTAAGGATGTTTAGATAAAGAAGAAAAATACTGATTGAGAAAATTTTTTTTTTTTACACTGAAAACAAGGGTATTTAGATATATATACGTAAAGATTCTGGTTGGCTATTTAAGTTGGATTTGAGTCATTCTGAAGTATTCGCGGTGGAATGTTATCAGCTTGTGGCTGAAATTATTTTCGACAAAAAGTTCAAGCATGTCATCCCTGCCTCCTCTGCAACACATCATGCAGCCCGGACAAATTTCCCTGTGGATATGAAATCTCTATCTCTCCTTCTCTGTGTTTTTCTCAGTGCCTTCGGCCAGTATGACCCGTCTTGCTCGCTCGCGAACGGCCTCTCTGACCAGCGCCGGCTCTGTGGATGGTTCTCGCAACCGTGCATGCACGCACTCAGATAGCAGTGAGGCCGTCGGGCAGGTCAGCCACACCATGGAAGTGTCCTGCTGAACCCTCTTGCACTGTCTCACACGCACACATTTAGAGAGACGGGGCATGGAAGGAGGGCGTGAGAAGAATGGAGGTCTCATATTGCTTTCATTCTTTCTTTCTCAGCCATTTTCTATGTCATTTTCTCTCAGTTTTTCAGTGTTAGCCATCTTAAAGGAATAGTTGACTCAAAAAAAAAAAAAAATTACCATCATTTACTCACCCAGATGTCTTTAGAAACCCATATGACTTGATTTCTTCTGTAGAACACAAAATGAGATGTATATAGTCCAAGCAGCTATTTCCCATATAATGAAAGTGAATGGTGACCACAACTGAATTTCAGTGGATAACAACTTTTTTTTTTGTGAATTAGCTTTAGAAGACCTGAAATGTCATGCACAGGTCATGTAAACCACTTTTATTATACTTGAGCATGACAGCACTTGGTCCCCATCCACTTCCATGGTATGGAAGAGAGCAGCTTGGACGTTCTGCTGAACATATTTTGTGCTCCACAGAAGAAATAAAGCAATACAGGTTTAGAAGAACCTTAGTATGAGGTTTTCTTTTCGAGCTGAACTATTCCTTTACCCTGTAAAATGAAGACTTGCTGTCCTTTTCCCCTTCAAAACAGTGTTTAGTTTCCCCCCAACTTTGTAACGCGGTTACTTAACGCTCTACGTGTCAGTATTCTGCACCCTTTGCTCGCTGCCTCTGGCCTTCACCTCCTCCTAAGACAAAACTACAAGTCCCATCAGCCCCTGCTCTCACTCATTCCTGTCCTATGACAGTCTTTGAGGAGAAACTGATGGATCGGGTCGCAGGTAGAAGGGGTTGGTCTTGAGGAACAGCATGAAACAAAGTAAAAGAAAGGAGAGTTCTTAAAGCAGAGAGTGATTTATAAGTGACATTTGTAGCTCTCCCTCTCAATTTTGAGCGAAAGTGATTGTATAGTCGAAGAGGGCGAAAATCTCTTAACCAGTAAACAGTAGCTTTCGGCTAATCATCTCAGCTCATTCAGTCATTGGGAGGGTATGTATCACCACATACTGTAAGAAAGAATCGTTTTTTGATAGGGTTTTTTGCATTATTTGATACTATGATTGGTTTTCTAATTTAAAATGTTATTAAAGCATGAACAATGCTTTTGAACAGTTTTTCTCCATTAAAGTAGGAACAGAAGTTGTATGACTTGACTTGCCACTGACTTGCCTCAAAAGGTATTTTTTTCATGTTAGAATGCTTCATTTTACCATTCCTTTAACATTAAGCACTAATACAATCAAGTGCACTTTCAAATCAAGTCTCACTTCATTAAATACGACATACCTAGTACCCTTTTAGTGTGTACTCTCTGTCATATGAAAGCGGCTTTGCCTGGGATCGGTTCTGTACGGTCTCCTTTTTATAAACAATCAGCTTCTGAGCCAAACCAAACCGGAACCGTCGACTGAGGCAGAGCCTGTGTGATAGAGTTTGCATTTTGTGCGTTAGCGGAACAGAATCAAGGCTTCACGCTTCCCTTACAGCACCCAGCCCCACACCAAGAATATACCAAAGCTACTGATACAAATGCACACATACACATTTCCCAATGAGGGCTGGGTTCTGCAAGGTAACAGAGCTCCAAGTACAGGGATATCCTGGGCGAAAACCTTCTCCAGAGTGCTCAGGACCTCAGACTGGAACTAAGGTTTACCTTCCAACAAGACAATGACCCTAAGCACACAGCTAAAATAATGAAGGAGTGGCTTCACAACAACTCTGTTACTGTTCTTGAATGGCCCAGCCAGATCCCTGACTTAAACCCAATTGAGCATCTCTGGAGAGACCTAAAAATGGCTGTCCACCAACGTTTACCGTCCAACCTGACAGAACTGGAGAGGATTTGCAAGGAGGAATGGCAGAGGATCCCCAAATCCAGGTGTGAATAACTTGTTGCATCTTTCCCAAAAAGACTCATGGCTGTATTAGATCAAATGGGTGCTTCTACTAAATACTGAGCATTTTTCAGTTTTTCTTTTTTAATAAATCTGCAAAGATGTCAACAATTCTGTGTTTTTCTATATATATGGGGTGCTGTGTGTACATTAATGAGGAAAAAAAATTAACTTAAATGATTTTAGCAAATGGCTGCAATATAACAAAGAGTGAAAAATTTAAGGGGGTCTGAATACTTTCCGTACCCACTGTATATACACACACACACAATTCATGTACTCGCATGCAACTTGCATTAGAATCGATCCATATTCAGTGCATGCTTATTTCATAATTTACTATAGATCTGTAGATTCACATTTACTTATTTTTTTGTGACCCTTGTCACATTTCCACATTTTCATTATAGTTTGATCAATTTCTAAAGTGGTGAATGGAAACTACAAATATATTTTTTGTGTTCCCATTTGCTCCAATAGCAAAAAAAACAAAAACAATAGTGTTTCTATGACTTTACAAATATGGAAAAAATGAAGAGATTGATTATGGTGTCAGAAGAGAAAATGATGTCAAGTTTGAACCCACTTCCCATTTTGTTTGAAATACCTACATAGCAGCAGCCAAGGTAATATAACACAAAGTATAGTGTTATATAACAAAATGTCTAGATTTGCAATTTTAATAACTTGAAACGTGTCATCAAAGTCTGTGAAAAAAATGTGTGCAGTTTGTGTACATAAATCATTAGATTTTTCCAATTATGGACTTAAAAATCTATTGATTTATGTACACAAACTGCACAAAATTTTGGGAGAAAAACCCCACCTAAACAATTGCACAAATAAAAGAAATAAATGAACGAATGAATGTACAAATGAGCGAATAAATGAGCCAACAAATGAGTAAACTAATGAACGAACAAATTATTCGAATCAAGTTCCAGAGGTGACTGACATGAGCTGAGATCTGATTGGCTTATGAGGGCGGAGCAACCGTTGGCTTTCCATTCCACACTCACGCTTTTCTGTCTTATTGAATGTCAGCATTTCTGCGGCTTCCTCGAACAGGAAGTGCACAATTACGACTTTTCAGGGGTGTTTCCTGCATGTTTGTCTGTAAGGGGCGGGGCTTTCTGGAGCATGATGCTCCAAGCTCGGAATGTAGGGCAAATCCCACCCCCAACAAACCCAACCCCCAAAACACAAGGTGCCCCGCCCCTCACAGACACTTCCAGTCGCCCCTAAAGGGCTATCGACCCAGGCAAAGCATCGTGATCGACCTCACTCCGTGCAAAGCTGGGCGCAGTACTGTAGATACTGTACAAAGAGAAAAATGAATGCGTGATATGGAATAAACAGTGAATGTGACAGAGGAAAGAGAGGGAGAGGAGGAACGAAAGGAGGGTGTTCAAAGCAGGAGGGTGAAAGTCAAGCACAAAATATCGATGGGTTTCCTCCTAAAGACAATGGACAAACACTCGTTCTTCCCCAGTATTGATTTGCATGAGTTTTGATAATGCAACCTTGTGTTTGTGTCGTTTTTCTTGATTTTCTGTCTGAAGTATGCAGTCGTTAGCTCTTATTAGGAGATAAAGAGCATGCCCACCTTTCAAAGGTGCACTTTTTCCTGAACCCTGATCTCTGCCTGGGGCCCTGAATGTATAATGTCCTTTGGAAGTGCTGTACAGTATTGTCAATGTGGCCCCATATCACCTTTTCTTAAATCAGGGCTAACACCAGTTTGACCTGCCACACCTGCCTTCCCTTGCACCCTTCTCCTTCTTAATCTCTGTTCTATGCTGTAGATATTAGCTGTATTTAGGGCATAAATCTAAAAATAGGTCCGTACCACTAGCCTTGTCATGTGGAACTGTTATACTTTGGATTTCCCTTGAGTTCTTCTTTTTATAATACAGTAGTTCTTATTTAACCATGTGTTGCATCTATTCTTGTGAGGATTCAATGAGTATTATTAATACTAATAATATGATTACAATTGTTACAGTTAGCCATTGTTTTATATTAAGCAATAAGTTGTCTGTGTTTATTTTTTGGATGGGGGCTAGTTGTTACAAATAGGTCTAAAGATACAGCAAGTGTCACTCTTAACCTGCTTTACCATAAGAAAACTACAAAAACTAATGTGTTTATGATGTATGTACATCTATATACAAGCTGTCACTGTCTGTGTACTAAAAAAAACTGAACGTGCAACAAATAAAAATGGATATATAAAAATTATAAGGGCTTTTGTTTTATTTTCTTGTAGCTTAATTGGTATCGACTCGCAATGAACACAAATAATATATCAAAAAATATATGTATAGTTTTAAGTCGCTTTCGTGGAGGTTTTTTTCTGCCACATAGGAGAAAAATAATGCTTTGGTAAATCATAATTGTGACATAAGTCGTCAAAACTATGAGATACTAAGTCGACAAAATTAGCCATTATGACAAGTCATAATTATTAGACAAAAAGTCGGAATTATGACAAAAGGTCAAGATTATGACAAATAATTATGAGATAAAAAGCTGAAATTATGATATAGTAATAATTATGAGATAAAAAGACAAAATTATGACAAATGGGGACAAAAAGTCAAAATAATGACAAATATAACAGATAAAAAGCTCAGATTCTTTGATATAATTTATATCATAAATTTGACAAAAAGTACGTCATTTTATGCCATAATGTCTTTTTATCTCACAATTTTGACTTTCAGCAATCTCAGTTTCAGCTCTTAATGTCACAATTATCCTTTGCCATAACTATTACTTTATCTCATAATTTTGACTTTTAAAGTGACGTATGTAATAACGACGTTTTGTCATAATTTAACAAAACTTAATTTTTTTCAAATGTATGTACTCTAATTTGTTTACAGAAGTAATTCAATACACTCATTGTAGAAACTGCTGTAATTTATTTGAAGAAATGAAATTTGCGATTCATTTGTGAATTTCTTCACCTCACGTAACAAAGCTAAGCATTTAAAGATGTGTGCATAGCGGAAAAAAAACATAGGCTGGAATTTAATTCACATACTTCTATAAAGTAAAAGTACATACTTCACTGGTGATGGTGAAAGTACAGAAGTTTGAATGTATGGCAAGATAGGACACAAGTAATCATGTATACAACAAAATTGTATAAACTTGATTCTATATACCCCTTAAAATTGTTGCAATCTGTTTGTAAAAACCAATAAATGAGCAACTAATAGATTTATTTTCTTGCATTAGCATCTAAATTCATTATTTTAAAGTTATTTGAGTTCATATGTTTAAAACCCCCGCAAATAATACACACTTTGAAAAATTGCTATCTACTGTACTATGTGGGTTTCTTTGGAATACTGTTTTTAGCATAAGATAACAAATTCTAACCTTGCATACAATACAGTACAGACAATATGTGAAATAGGATGCAGCCATATTCTCATATCTTGAATCAAGTCATTGGAAAATTACTTAAATACAAGCTCATAAGTTACAATGTAGGCATCGCTGTAGGCATACAACAAATGATCTCTGGGGTCATAGTTAAGATACTCAATATTAGTCTGCATCTTCTTAACATTAATTTTCAAATCAAAGCGCTCTTCCTTTGTTTTGGTGTCATAAGAGTAAAAGATCTGTTCTGTTTCTTTATCTAGGTAACGAGTAGCATAAAGCACACCGCACACCATGAAGGTGTTTGTTGCAGTCGTTTTGTACAAAGACGTTTTCCAAGTTTGGCCCAAAACTGGTGGGTTACTAGTCTCAATTTTAGTGATAACCACATTTCCAAAGTTGCTTGTGGTTGCGTATATGACATAAATGCCTGATTCATCTGTGGCAAAATCCAAATCAGTATAGCTGTATGTTGTGCCGAGGTGCGCAAATGGAAACTTGCTATTGTAACCTGTATCACTAGGCAAAGCCACAGTACTGACGGCACGAGTCATCAAGTTGAACTGACAGACAGAGTATTTGTTGTAACAGTTATAGTAGAGTGCATTGGCGTACATGACCATGTTTGACCCCTGAATTGTGTTTGTTGTGGGATTGGAGCTTGATATGTATGTATCTTTTGGTCCTATACCTAATAAAAGAGTACTCAAGGTGCTGTACTGGCGGACATAGTGGCCATATACATTACTACTTGTCAGCACCACCAGCCAGTACTTGTTCTCGTCTCCTGGAGCGGGTTTTGCATCTCGACCCCAAGCACCATAAGGGTAGGAGGTGCTGTATACCGTGATGGAATACGTTCTAGGTCCCCCCACACCGACCATTTCACCCAGACCACAGCGTCCTGAAAACACCGAAGAAAAACAGAACTAAAAGTCTTGAGCATTTCTTAAGCTGGATAATAATGCAAATGCTCTGGAAGCTTGAGTTAAGGGACTATTGGGATCTTTAGTGTACCTGGGGG